CTGGCCTCAAACCTCCTTTTCTATTTATGATCTACCTAGTGTCCTTTTTAAACTCATGTTTTTCCTGTACTTCATCATTCCCAATTACCTTTCTATTTCATATGTTACCTCTTAGTTTTTGTTTTATTCTTTTTACTTACTTAATACTCTCTATTAGAAATACTTTCTATTATAAATAGTTACAAGTAACGAGCCTTAAGACTGTTAGTAAAACAAACTCTAATCCATGGTATCTCTCTTCATTCTCTAGTCTCAAACCCTACATATCTGTCCCTAAACTCAGAAAAAAGCTAATCCTATATTACCAACAATATCAGTAATCTAGGGAGTAGAGACAATAAAGAGTAGACCTAATATATGAAACGATCTGTAGTTGTTTTTTTTGTTTGTTTTCTTTTTTTAATTGTATTTTTATTATTTTGTGTGTGTTTGTGTACCGTCAAATCAGATTTGACTGGTACAGGAGGAGATTGTTCCTCCTTCTCCAGCAAAGCATCTGGTGGATTTGTGTAGTTTTCATATTTAAAAAAATTTAGATAAAAACCTGTCAAGTACTGAATTCATGTTCTAATATTATTACAAGCATTTTCAGATCAACTCAATTTGATGCTTAACCCATATTTAAAAAGAACATATCCAGAATGGTAGGTAGAGATGAGAGACTTCAGGCATAACTATAGAGTAGTAAGAGTGGTCAATATGTACTGTGACATTTACTCTTTAAAATGTTTTTATTTTAAAAATACCAATTTATTATGCTTCACAATTGAAGACCAAGACCTCTTAAATAGGAAGAGGTATGTTTTCCAACGAATTCTGAAGAAACTGTTATTCTCAGCTTTCCTATTTTTATAACATACTCTAGTTCACTATTTCAATCAGCTACCACTACTAGAATTCTATTTCTTTTTTTTTCGCCCAGGGGTTATTTCTTTTTTTTTTAATTTTTTTTTATTTTTTTTTTAAATAATTTTAATGAACATTTACAGAATTTGGATTTCCATTCATTCATTGCTGTACTTCTCTACCCTCCCAGCCCTCTCCCCCGCCCCCAGTTCGCTCCTCTCTTTCAAAAGTAAAAGACTCCCTCCCTGATACACAATCCCCCCGCACCCCTCCCACCACCCCAAGTACATTTCACTATGCAACCTTAATTGTGGACTCTTGTGATAACCATAATACCCTATCATACATCGCTTTTAAATTATTCAGTCCCTCATCTGTTTCAGTGCAGTATACACAATTTATCCAGTTTTTCTCAGTCTTACCCCCACCCTGATATCAGTCCCATTTTACAGCAGTGCAATATTTGTCCTTTTGTGACTGAGATATTTCACTCAGCATAATATCCTCCAGGCTCACCCATTTTGAATAATATTGAATGAGTTCCTTGTTTTTCAATGCAGCATAGTATTCCATTGTGCGAATATACCACAGCTTCTCTAGCCATTCGTTTGTTGATGGGCACATAGGTTGTTTCCAACTCCTTGCTATTGTGAACAGAGCTGCGATAAACATGGATATGCATATATCTGCTTGGATGTCAGTTATGGTCTCTTTGGGATATATTCCCAGTAGTGGAATTGCTGGGTCAAATGGTATCTCTATTTGCAACTTTTTGAGAAAGCGCCATACTGCCTTCCACAGTGGTTGCACCATTTTACATTCCCACCAACAGTGAATAAGGGTCCAGTTTCTCCACAACCTCACCAGCATTTGTTGCTTGCTGTTCTGTTAAATTTTGCTATTCTGACTGGGGTGAGATGATATCTCATAGTTGTTTTGAGAAGTCTATTTCTTAAATTAAAAAAAAATCCATTCAGAAAACACGAATCACTAAACTTCTACTTATTTCTACTGTTTAATGCATCATAATAATTTACATATTACAAAACAGTCTTGGTTTAAGTAATATAAAAACAATGGCTATATATAGAAAAAAACCATCATGGTCTCCAAACACAGCCTTAGTAAATATAGATACATTCCCTGGTTCCACACTTTAAAAAAAAATATATTCAATTTCCAATGACCAGGGAGGATCGAAGGAGAACTGATGCCTTTGAACTGTGGTGCTGGAAAATGGTACTGAATATACCATAGACTGCTTTAAGAACAAACAGGTTCATCCTAGAGAGCATGAAAACAGGCTGCTCCTTGGAAGCAAGGATTCTGAAGCTTCATCTGACATACTTTGGGCATGTTGCAAGGAGAGACCAGTCCTTAGTGAGGGACATTATGCTTGGGAGGGTAGAGGGACAGCGTAAGAAAGGAAGACACTCAATGAGATGGATTATTCAAGGACTGGGTAATGGGGGTAGGTGTGTCAGAGGCGTAAGGTTGCCACAGGATAAAGGGTTTAGGGCTGTTGTACAAAGAATCACTATGAGTCACAAGCAAATAAACAGCACATAACAACAACAATAACAACAACATTCAATTTCCTGCCAAAATAAAATCCAAGTAAGTGTAGATCATAGTATAAACAGTTTAGCTTCTTAAGACTCATGCAGAATAACTAATAATTAAAATTAATTCTATTAATTTAATTTATAAAGGTATTAATCTGAATTATATTAATATATAAAGACATCACCTGAGAATACAACGCATAATTTTCTAAAACAATACAATAAATAATCAAATGGTAATTTTTTATTGTTAATGTTTAAAAGTCATAGATAAGAAGAATTCTGCATTCTGGTCAATAACTAAGGGACAGGCATTCAAAAACCAGGCATATTTGGTTCCAAAAGAGAAAATTTATACCCAGAATGATATTAGATACTAAGGCCTTATTGATGTAATTGTGGTAATAAAGGCATATTCTACACATGTTATTGGTATTTATAGATGTTACCTATGAATAAAATAATATGATGTGTGAATAGACAAAAGATTATAAAATATTCTTTATTGTTGAATCTGTATCATAGGTACCTGAGATTGACTATAGTATTTTCTCTATATTTTGCATGCTTGGAATATTCTATAACCAAACTTCTTTTCAGTAGCCGAAGGAAAAAAAAACCCACATAGCCACTCTCCCAAAAAGCAGAGGTCAATTAAGTTTACTATGATATATATCAATGACTAGCCAAATGTTTAAAATTTCAGGAAAATACCAATAGTTTTTAACTACAAGTAAACCAAAAGCTGTTGTCATCAAATAAATTCTGATTTATAGCAACCCTTTAGGGCAGAATAGAAGCACCTCTCAGGATTTCCAAGTCTCTAATACCTATAAAGGCAGACAGCCATATCTTTCTACTGTGGAGCAGCTGGTAGATTTGAACTGCCAACCATTCTCTTAGCAGCTAAGCACTTTAACAACTATATTTCTAAGGCCATTAAGTAAGTTAAAATCTTCCTATGTGAAACTAGGAAGCTCTGGTGGCCTAGTGCTAAGAAGTGGTACTAAAAATCCAAAGGCAGACCAGTTCAAACCCACCTACTGCTCTGCAGGAGAAGATGGGCCATCTCCTTCCATGAGATTTACAGCCACCGAAAATCCATGGCAAACAGCAACCACATATGAAACTGGCCCAATAGGCAGTATTACGATAAATGGAGATCATACTGACGTTGTCAATGATTTAATTTTTTTGGCAGTTATTTAAATTTACTTGCTACTCATGGTGGTAGCAAGAAAGTAAGATTTGCTGTACTGGGAAAATTTGCTGTCAAAAACCTCTCTGAAGGGCTGAAGGGTGTCAGGGGTTTTTTTGTGTGTGTTTGTTTTGTTTTATTTTAAGAGTGTCAGTTTAAAGACTGATATTTTCAACTGTTTTCTACATATCTGAAAGTAGGACCATAAATAAGGATGAGAGATGAAGAACTAATGTTTTTTGTTGTGGTGTTGGTGTTGACGAAGATCACTGGAATATACACTGGATTGCCAAAGGAACAAACAAATCTGTCTTGAAGGAAGTGCAAGCGGAGTGCTCCTTAACAGCAAGGATAGTAAAACTCTATCTCACTTATTTTGGGCATATTTTTCAGTAGGAACCAGTCCTTGGAGGGAGACATAATGCTGGGAAAGGTAGAGTGTCAGTAAGAGAGAGGAAGACCCTCAACAAGATGGATTGGCACAGTGATTACCCCAATGGGCTTGAGCATCACAGAAATCATGACAATGGTGCAGGACAGGTCAAGCTTCCAATCTGTGTTCATAAGGTCATTACCAGTCAACCTGATGGCACCTAAGAACAATATGAAAATTCCACTCTAGAGCTAGATAAGAGAATTTAGTTGAAGATACAAAACCCAGTCTTCAGAATGAAAGAAACCTATATAAAAACCAAAACTCCAAACAAACAAATCAGCAAGAAAGGCAGACATATTTAAACGCCTATGGAACAAAATTAGAGCTCCAGAGGCCTAGTGAGTAAAGAATTACACTGCCAACCCAAAGGCAGGTGGTTTGAATCTACCAGCTGTTCCACAAGAGAAAGATGGGCAATTTCCTCTGATGTAATTTACAGCTCCTAAAAAGCTCCAGAAGGCTAATGTATGAATAGGTTCCAATGTGATGGCACATAACAACAACCTGTAATAAAATCAGGACAGAGAAGATGTCTGAATCTATTTTTTTTTTACTCTTAAATAAAAACTTAGGTTTTCAAAGTTTTTTCTATAATGGAACTTATTATAATATAAATACAAAAGTGAAGAAAGCTAGTTTATACTGTAATGAACATTTTCCAGAATATTTTAAGTTAAAAAGGGACACAAAATAAAATAGTTTTATCTGCAATAAAAAGAAGGGATATTGTGTTTGTATGTGTGTGTGAGAGAGAGAAGAGAAATAAATACATACACTTGTGGAATGTTGGGTTTTTCTTATGTTGCATAGTTTTGTAAAGATATAGGGCTATCTGTGAATAAGGTAGCAGGAAAGGTAAAAAAAACCCAGTAGAGGTACTTTCCTTAGTTTTTCTGAATTTTGAGCACTGTGAGTATACATTTATCCAAAAAGTAAGTATTAAAAAATATTTTACCTTGTACCATTGTTCCTAACGACGTCAACAGTTTCTTCAACAAAATATCGATTCTTGATATATGCAAAGATATCATCACAGATTTCATGTAAACGTGAACGATGGGTAAGGCTGGTCAAGTATAAAACTGGAATAATTAGTGGTTCTGGAAAGCTCTGAAGATTCTGTTTTGCTTTTTTTTCTGACTCAAGTGCTTCTTGATAGGTCAGTCCTGGTCTGCCAGTCACAGCACAACTCCACACAAGGCTGTTGCACAGAATGGTTCGTTCAAAAAAGTCACTGGTTAAAAAAACAAAAACAAATAACCATTACTTATCGTCCGACAAATTTCCAATTAAAAATTATTAAGACTGTGCCTTTGTTGTAAAAATTTAAATACAAATTTAAAATACAAACAGGGTTTGGCAACTGGCAAACTGAGGTAATGTAAATCCAAGAAAAAATACATTTAAGCCAGACACATATCTTGCAATTTAAAGATATATTCAACTAGAATTGAACTTTAATCTTCATCAGTGTTAATTTGGATTCAAGTTGAAAAGAATATGATCTAAAAATCTTTGTTTTCCTTTCAATTTTTACACTGGTTTCAGGTTTTCTTTTTTAAAGTATTTAAAATACTAAGGATAAATTCAAGCGTTTAACTTTAACTGAGACTTTATAACTGTGAACATAGTAGTGAAAACTAGAAAGTTTAGTATGAAAAAGTTAACTAAACTACTGAATGTCAATATAATTAAGTCATTTTAAAGTATAATGTGAGATTTTTAAAATAACATGTTAATAAGGGGGAAAGTCACAATATTCTAATTTTCATCCCTCTTGGATGTTTGAAAGTAAAAAGTTATTGAAATAATACTTATAGAATGATTTAATTGTGTTAAAAAAATCTACAGAAAACCTGGAAAGATTTCTAAAGCATGAGAAGTAAAATAAAAACTCAAATAGAAAAAAACCCTAGTAACACAATCATATGAACATTTGCAAAAATACTAAAAATTAGTTTTCTATGGTGATAAAATAGGGATTAAAAAGGAAAATATTCTTCCTTATTCTAATTATTTCTAATATTGCATCAATTCTTATAATAAGTATGTATATACACATTATTTTACATCCTTGGAAGCTCAATGGAGTAGCTCTCCTCTAATGTGTAAGGTCTCTATGAGCCACAATTCTCAATAGTAACTGCTTAAACTAGTGGTTAAAGAAATAGAATGTTAGTTATATACATAATTTTTAATTTTATAGCAGCTACATTTAAAAATTAAGAGAAAGATGTAGCTTCTATAAAGATTACAAGTCTGGAAACCCTATTGGGTACTTCTACTCTGTTAAATAAAGTTGCTATGAGTTGTAATCAACTAAAAACCAATGGGATTATATTTTAAGAATTAGAAATATTATGGAATCTGCTGAGTCTTGTTTAACCCAATATATCCCAAAGGAACTCTGATGGTGTCATGTGTAAGCAATATATAAGGCTGCTAAGGGAAAGGTTGAAAGTTCAAATACATTTAACTGCTCCCTGGGACAAAGATAGGCACTCTCGGAATCTAATGTAGGGTTGCTGTGAGATCAAACCATTTTATGACAATAAGTCTGTTTTTTTAACCTATCCTATAAACACACACACCTACCTCCATTACCCCAGTCACTGAATCAGTCTACCTCATCAAGGGTTTGTTTCCCAAGCATGATGTCCAAGGACTGGTCACTCCTTGCAACATGCCAAACATTGCTGCAACATGCCCAAAGTAATGGAGGTAGGTGTGTCAGAGACAATAAAGTTGGCACAGGATAGAGTGGTTGTACGTAGGATTGCTATAAGTCACAAATGAATCAACAGAACATAACAACATCCTATAAAGAAATGCATTTCAGAATTCAATCCACATAAAAATCATTACAGACTCTTGTTTATATTTAAAATAAGTCTTTAAAATACAGTGTGTATTTTCTATTTCTAGAACATCTTAACCACATTTCAAGTGCTTAACAGTGGCCATGGCCAAATGATGACTACTACATAGATAGCTCTAGCCTTAAGAGGTAAGTGGCACCTGCAGTACTTGGTAGATAATGGAAAACAGCACAGTAAGAGGACAGCTCAGTGTAAGATGTGTTGCAATAAAAATTAGATTTGTTAACATTGTACAAAGTATCAAGGAGGCCAATGGCACAACCACTACCAAACAGAAGTCAGTTACCAGGCAGAAAATTCCTGTCTACACCAGAGGTTTCAACTGTCCTGAAAGTGCTCTCCAAAGTCTGCAGTTGTTACATGATAGCCTTCTGGTATACAAATCTATACTCATGAAAGCAGAACACTCTAACACTACCACAGTAGCAAATTCTTCAAAAGGCTGAGGGGAAACCCAAGGCCTATTTCTTCATGTGCTTCACTTCCTATCAGCATTCCAACATCTTTCATATTACATATATTCACTTTCTCTTACTTTTGAATTATTTTATTTATTCATTATACACATTCAAATGTGTACACTTTTGTTACTGATAAACTCTAGCAGAAAATTACAGTGCCTTCTCAAATTCTAAATTACAAGAATTTAAGAAGACTAAACTATTACATTTAAACTATTACTATTGCATTGGGAAAGTCTGCTGTCAGAGACCTCTCAAAAGTACTGAAGAGCAACTATGTCAGTATGGAGACTTAGGTGTGCATGACACAGGCCATGGTCTTTGCAATTACTTGCTAGGCATCAGAAAGCTGGACAATGAATAGATATGATAGAAGGAGAACTGATGCCTTTGAACTGTGGTGCTGGAGAAGAGTATTGAAGATACCATGGACTGCTAGAAGAAAAAACAAGTTTGTCCTGGAGAGGGTGAAGCCAGACTGCTCCTTGGAGGCAATGATTGTGAAGCTTCCTCTGACATACTTTGGACATGCTGCAAAGCGGGATCAGTCCTTGGAGAGGGATGTCATGCTTGAGAGGGTGGAGGGACAGTTCAGGAAAGGAAGACCCTTAATGAGATGTACTGATTCAGTGACAAGGGTAATGGGGACAGGTGTGTTGGAGACAGTAAGACTGGCACGGGATAAGAGTAGGGTTTAGGGTTGTTGTACATAGGGTTGCTATGAGTCTCACAAACAACTCGATGACACATAACAACAAAACTATTACTAAACAATTTTACTATTTTAAGAAAAAATAATGGATATAAATTTATGCCTGTTGTTGTTGCTCTATCCCTTGCCAATCTTACTGTCTCCGACACACCTATCCCCATTACCCCCCATCACTGAATCAATCCATCTCATCAAGGGGTCCCTTCACCTTCCCAAGCACGACATCCCTCTCCAAGAACTGGTCCCTTCTTGCAACATGTCCAAAGTATGTCAGACAAAGCTTCAGAATCCTTGCCTTCAAGGAGCTGCTTGGCTTCACCCTCTCCATGATGAACTTGTTTGTTCTCCTAGCAGTCCATGGTATAGTCAATACTCTTCTCCAGCACCAAAGCTCAAAGGCATCAACTCTCTTCTATTATCCCTAGTCATTGTCCAGCTCTCTGATGCATAGAAAGTAATGGCAAAGACCATGGCCTATATCAGGTGCACCTTAGTCTCCAGACTGACATCAATGCTCCTCAGTACCTTGGAGAGGTCCCTAACAGCAAACTTTCCCAATGCAATTAATCTTTTAATTTCCTGGGTTCTTTCTTACCATAGCTAACAGAAAACTGTTTTTGAGTTTCCAAGCAGCGTACTTTCCAAAGAAGTATCTCCAATACAAACCAACTCTCTGGTTGTTAAACTTGTAGATATTTTGTAACCCAGAAAGGCAAAAGAAAATGCTGGAGAGCAGCAGAAGAAAAACTGTAGCAGCAAAACCAGGAGACTGGAACTGAGGAGGTGAAGAAGGCTTTCCCAGAATACAGAGCAGGGGAGAAAGCTGAGCACCTCTGAACAAGAAGCATGCTGGCAGAGAGAGGTGCCTTCAAGCACTTGGCAGAACTGAGCTGGCTAACCTATAGTGGGAAAGCTGAACACCGTCCACCCAAAATATACTGGCTGAGTAGGGTGACTGTGGATACCTGTTGGTGGAATAAGGAGCATTGCGACACTTCTCTAAGCTGTCCAAAGAAGACCAAAAGTATGAAGAGCTGAGGGTTAGATTGACATCTCCCTGCAAGTATGGTTGAAAGAGGTTGTCCCATGAAAAAAACCATATCAATCGTTCCCAGTCCTGGACAGACTGTAGCCTACAATATGGACTGCATCTCAACATCAAGAAAACAAAGATCCTCACCATCAGGCAATTGGCATGACAGATGGAGAAACGTTAAGGTTGTTAAGAATTTCATCTTGTTTGGATCCACAATCTTCACCCTTGGCATCAGCCATCGAAAACTGAAAGACGAGTTGTTTTAGGAAAATCTGCTGTCAGGGACTTCTCAAGAATGTAAAGATCAACAGTGTCAGTCTAAGAGACTTAAGGTGTGCCTGATCCAGGATTGCTATGCATTTGAAAATTGGACAATGAACAAAGGTGAAAGAAGAATAATCAATGTCTTTGAGTTGTGGTGCTTAAGAAGAATACTGAACAGACATGCACTGCCAACAGAACACAAAGATCTATTCCTAGAGAGATGAAACCAGGTTGCTCCTTGGAGGCAAGGATTTTGAAATTCTGTCTCACATACTTTGACATGCCGTCAGGAGGGCCCAGTCCTTGGAGAAGGATATCATGCTTGGAAAGGTAGAGAGAAAGCACAGGAGAAGATGATCCTGGATGAAATGGATTGACACAATGACTGTGACTATGGGGTTAAGTGTGCCAGAAATAGAGAGTTTGGGTCAGGATACAGCAAGTTTCAAAGCCATTGTTTACAGGGTTGCTATGCGTTGTGGCTGACTCAATAGCACATAATAACAACTCTTTCTAATAAACTCCATAATTATAAACATGAACTGTAAGTTCTATGACCCACTGCAAACTAGCAAACCCAATATAGAAGTAGAGTGCTAGAGAAGGGACGCTTGGTGTCAAAGATGGAAGTGGGGAAAAGGCTGTAACAGGGCATACGTCAACCTCCCTTTCGTAGGAATCTGCCTTCAGCTGTTAAGCTGTTAATGATTCTCCTCCCTGTTTGTGGTACGGGGCAGGACAGGGTTCAGATCTGTTGTTCACAAAGTTGCCATGGGTTGGATTCAATTCAAGGGCACTTACCAAGAACAACCATCCTACCTATGATGTTAGATGAGGTCAGATGCCACTCCCACACCACCATTTTTACACAGATCTAAGACA